CCCCAAAACCCCAAAACCCCAAAACCCCAAAACCCCGTCATTCATGCATATGCTAATATTGATGATGAATAATTTGTGGAATGAAAATATTAATTCAGTTGATCTATTATAATATATACAAAATTATTTAGTCAAACTGATATAGTTCAACAGATGAGAAGTTGAAGATTCAATTTCTAAATATTAATGGGATTACTAAAGTCAGAAAAAAATAATGATAATACTGCCAGTTAGATCCTAGATGTCAAGTCCTCAAAATTAAGAGTAAAACTAGTCATATTAAATCGCATTTCTAGGAAAAGAAGCTAAATGCAACAATAAATTTCTTATTAAGCAGCTCTAAAAAAATGCTATAAAAGGGTAATTTAAAAATTTATTAAAATACTTTTTAATTTTTAGCAATAGAATGAACAGCCAACAGACCAATGCCAATGAGATTTTAGAGCCTTTAATTGATAACGATCAGGAATAAGGTACAAGTAAAATATATGAAGTCATTAGCAATAGTCATTAACCTCATTGCCCAATATGTGAGCCTATTAATTTTGAAGAGAAAATAAGACCGATCTATGAGATTGAGATCAAATGAACCTTAGCCATGCATGAGTATGATTCAAATAAGGGGGTGGAAATGAATGCTACATCCTTGAACTATAGAGCTATATTTATACTAATTTAATTTAACTTTTCACAAGACTCTATTGTTTTTATTAATTTCTTATTCCTTTAAAAACCCTCATCTAATCTTTTTTCTCTCATCTAAGTGTTTTTCATTAAATATTGCCTCATCATTGCCTCAATTCTATATGCAGATAACTATTTTGGTAGAATTAGTCCTAAAGTTATTCAAAATTCAGCTATTATAGGTTTATAATAATTCTAGTTCATTTTCTAAGCATGATACCCTAAAAAATTAGCCTAAAGTGCTTAATGTGAAGCAAAAATGTCTATATTTCTTTGAGGCATTTCACCCTATTCAACTAGTTTTGAAGTAATTAGAATATAAAAGTTCTGTAAAGCATTGTTTGAGCTGGTTTTTCAATAAAATCAATAGAGACAGGACTTATAAGAACGAATTTGATAATAGCAAGGAAGTTTGATAACTTGTTTTATCAAATTTATGACATCTAGCTTGAGAGTTGAAGCTATTTTAATTTGACCATTTTTTTCATTTAATTAATAAAATATATGTGATTATCAACAAATTAGGAAAATTAGATTAAAATTGTCACAGATTATAATTGATTTTAATTATCAATAAACCTATATCTTAATCCAGCAATTTATTTAAAATTATTTAAATTTTAAAAGACAATTCTTTAACAAAATTAAATATTAATCTTAACTTAACATATATAAGTTAAATGGAAATAGTTTGATTAAAAAAGTAACAAATCAATATTTTTTGAGGAATGTATTTCATTGGAAAATCATATAAAATCAGCTATATTAATGTGAAATAATCAATGGTTGACATTATATTTCCAATCACAAATTCTGTTTGATGAAAAATAGTTTATATAAGGAGTAAGATGATTTCATGTTATTTTTACCATTAATTTAGTTTAAAATAAGGGCATAAAGACACAGGCATGAGGATAAGAATTTAACGGAGAAAATAAATCTATCATTAATGAGAGTTAAAAAATCATAGCATCTTCAATAATTTGCTATTAGTTCCTTAATATATACTCTAAATCAACTTTTACTACACTCTTAGTATTTCATCAATTGCAAGATGGGGTTTTGGGGTTTTGGGG